CACATAATTCAGGGGGTAGCATTATTAAAAGTGGAGCTGGTTAATATGGCCTACAGCTGAAGTTGCATAACATTTATGACCCTGTCATCAGTTTTTTCGGAATTTTGCCAGACTTTGAGTACTTCTAACAGAAGATACAGGGAAGATAGATCTACTCAACAGTTGCTTTGCCTCAGTCTTTAAAAAAAGATTTAGCTGCAGATGGACAGATACCCAGTAAGGATTATCTGGTTAAGAAAGGGGGTAAAATGAGGTAGTAGATAACAGAAGAGACAGTCAGAGAGCATTTGTTGGGTCTGAATGAATTCAAGTCAGAAGGGCCTTCATCCCAGGATACTGAAGGAACTGGCAGAAGAGATCTTGGAGGCCTTGGCAATGGTCATCATGAAGTTGTGAGAGATGGGCCAGGTACCACAGGACTGAAAAATGGTGAACATAGTGCCCCTCTTTAAAAAAAGGCAAAAAGGAGGGCCTGGAGAACTACAGATGGGTAAGCCTTGCCTCAATACCATAGATGTTACTGGAGCATATCCTAAGGAAAGTCATTTGTAAGCATCTGGAGGAGGAAAGGCTGATCAAACAGCCAGCATGGATTTATGAAAAACAAGTAGTGTCAAACAAACCTGATTTCTTTCTTTGACAAAGTAACTACTTGGGTGGATGAAGGGAATGCTGTGGATATAGTGTGTCTGGACTCCATCAAGGCTCTTGACAAGGTCATACATGACCTTCTCATAACAAGTTGGAGAAATGTGGAGCTGGACAAAACTACTACAAGGTGGATAGATAACTGGCTCAATAGATCCAAGCAAAGGGTGATTAATAACAGCTCCATGACAGAATGGCAGGAGGTTTCAAGTGGAGTCCCATGGGGGTCTGTCCTGGACCGTTCAACATGTTTATTGACAATTTGGATGGTGGTATATAAAGCTTCTTGAGCAGGTTTGCAAACAACACAAAACAGAAGGATTGCAAACACAGAGGATGTAAGCACAATTCAGAAGGATCTCAACAGATTGGAAAGTTGGGCTAGAGCTAACTGGATGAAGTTTAATGTAGACAATGTAAGGTACTGCACCTCAGGAGGAGTAATCAAAAACATAAATATAAAATGGGTGACACCTGGTTGGCTGGCAGCACTATTGAAAAGGGAATCTTGCAGTGTAATGCAGCCGCATAAAAGGTGAATGCAGTTTTAGGCTGCATCAATAGAAGCATTAGGTGCAAGACACGGGAGGTGATAGTGCCTCTACTCAGCACTGGTTAGGCCTCATCTGGAGTACTGTATGCAATTTTGGGCTCCACATTTTTAAAAGGACATGGAGAAAGAAGTTAGAGAGGCTCCAGAGGCAGGCCGCAAATATGATAAAGGGCTTGGAAAGCAGGTCATATGAGGAGAGACTGAAGGAGCTAGGCATGTTCGGTTTGCAGAAAAGGTGCTAAGAAAGGACATGATAGCAGTCTTCAAATACTTGAAGGGCTGCCGTAAAGAAGAGGGAAAGCACCTTTCCTCTTTTGCTGCAGAGAGGAGGTCGCAGACCAATGGCTTGAAGTTACAGCAAAGTAGGTTTATACTGGATGTCTGGAAAAACTTCTACACTATTAGAATAGTAAGGCAGTGGAATAAACTGCCTAGGGAATTTATGGACTCTCCATCACTAGAGGTGTTCAAGAAGAGGTTGAACAGCCACTGGTTGGGGAAGATCTAGGCATAACTATGCTAATGTTGTACTGTGGGTATTTTCCGTGCTTCTGGGCTTTACTGGTTGCCTTAACTGCCCCTTACTTTCTGCTACATGTCAGATGACTAGATGACTTCTGGAGGTCTCTTCCAGCCTGGCTTCTCTATGATTCTATGACTTGGACTGAAAATTCCCATGCTGAATATCATAGAAAAAATAGTATTGGAAGGGACCTCAGGAGGTCATTTAGTCCAGGGGTTTTCAACTTTTTTTAATAAGTGTACCCCCAGCAGCCGGATGTGGGGAGGGGTTGTGCGCCGCTGCATGTGGAATGGCAGCAGTGCACAGGGTGGTGGGTGGCGGCGGCTGATGCGTGCGAACTTCCCACTCCCCCCGCCCCCCAGTGTCTGGTTGGTCAGGCAGGGCGGTGCTCTGTCCCTGCCCACCCATGCATGCCTCCTAGGGCCTTCCCAAGTACCCCTGGGGGTTCGTGTACCCCCGATTGACAAACCCTGATCTAGTCCAACCACCTGCTCAAAGCTGACCATCCCAACTAAGTCAGTCCAGCCAGGGCTTTGTCGACCTGGACCTTAAAAACCTCCAAGGATGGAGATTCCACCACCTATCTAGGTAACCTGTTCTAGTGTTTCACCACCCTCCGGCAGAGAAAGTTTTTCCTAATATCCAACCTAAACCTCCCTTGCTGCAACTTGAATATTTACTTTGGGCTCATTAGAAAAATCTGGAGATATGGTGAAGTCACTTGTGAGAACACGTTTTGGGAAAATAATGTTTTACTTGTGTTAAGCAATTTTTATGGCTGTTATATTGAGGCACATTAGTGATTTCATGGTTTAGAATAGTGAGGGCCAATCTTTTTTGACAGGTGTGCTGCAAATTAGCCCTGCACCTTCTCTAAGTACCAGTCTGATCCCCTTCCCCTGCCCAATCTGCTACTCTGATTTCTGTCCTATCTGCTGCTGCTGTGCTTCCTGATTTGCCATGGGGAACGCACACAAGTGCCTGTGCTACTTGTAGCAGGTGTGCTACTTCTGGCCACCCCTGTTTCAGAACATGGTCTTGGAGTTGGAAGGGCAGTGTAAGAAAGGGCTTTGTGTCAGGGATGGGCATGTTGCTTTTCTTATAAAAAAAACTATACATATTTGGCCCAAACAGAAGGCTTTGAAAAAAATGCAGTTTAGCTTTTACTCTAATTCAGAGCTACAGGGGCTGAACAGGCCATTTCCTCCATTTGCTGCTCTACGATTTTGTGGGCTGCTGTGGCACTGGCCCTGGGAGCAAGGAGACTATTTCCTTGTGCTATCAGTGCCCCCCCATGCTGCTCCCCAGTAACACAGAGAAGGAAAGAGTCCTTAAATACATAAGACAGGAGCTAGACAAAGAGATTTCATGGTAGTATATTGAGATATGGCAAAAGTGACTAATGCAGGTCCAAAGGCTGAGTGAATTCAGGGCATCCTGTGCACTGGATGAAGTAAGGGTCCATTAGAGAAGCTAGTATGTGTTCATGTAATGTGGATGAAGGCAATACAGGCAACCTTAATTCTAGCATTTCCTAGTTTTTGAGTGCTTGACTTTAACATACTTTATTTTGTATGTACTAGCGTGTAGGTTGCATGTTTTGTATGTACTGTGAAGTTCTTTTATATGTGGAAGAAAGTTATTTGGAGAGATGCAATACCAGTCAATAAGGGTTCAAGGTTCTCAGTATAAATGCCCTTGTCATCTACCCCACCCAGGATGGAGTGGGATGGAATCTGAAGTCTCAGAGAATGGTCTAGCGAGCCTTCCCCCTCTTCTTCTTAAGCATTGCTAGCCCCCACCTCTCATTCCATCCATCCCCATGGCCTCACCTTCCACCCCACCCTCCCCTCCAGCTTTGATGATCACTTATTCAACCTGGGTTTAGAGTTCTTCTACACCTCATCTGCTTGCTAGTTATGCATATGAGAGGATTGGGAAGCAACACTATACATGCCCTCTCCAGTACTGCCCTCAAACCCCAAGCAGATCCCCCTTTAGCTCGGGAAGCCCACAGTATGTTTAGACCTTCAGTGCTGGTATATTGGGCTTCCATAAGCCGCTGAGCCTGACTGGGTGATTAGCTAGTGGCATTGAAAAACAGATGAGATTCACTTAAATTTCACAAAGGGAGAATTTTTAGTATTTCCCTCTTGTATCCCAAGATTACTTTTCAGTACTCACAGTGCCCTCAGCAATTTAAGAATACATCAAAGAACATTTCTTAATTTTTGGATTTAATTTCTATATCTGGTGAATGGGGTAACAAATCCAGGACCAAGGTCTCAAGATCCTACTAGTACCAAAAGTTTGACACGTCCCTAGCTATCAGTGACTCCCTAACTTAGGAGAAAATCTTAAGGTGATTCACCTAATAGCTTTAATTTAATTATGTATGAGGACCAAACAAGGTTTAGATAAAGTGCCCTGCAGCCATGTTCAAACTCACGGGAGCTTAATCCATGTGATACTGCAGCACACTATTTAGAACACTGAGGAGCACGTGTATAGGCAGCAGGTATCATTTCAGGGAAATAGGTCTGGAATATGACATAAATGGATTCATCATCATCAGATGAGATTTGTTTTTGAGTGCCCTGCAGCATGGTGATTTTGATTTTCTTTTGTTAAAGATATTGATGAATGCCTGAATGAGAGTACTTGTCCAGATGCACAGTGCATTAATGCTCCTGGCTCGTATCAGTGCGTTCCTTGCACGGATGGATTCAGAGGCTGGAATGGACAATGCCATGGTATGTCTATTATATTTATATTCCAAATGTTGATACATAGATTTTTTTTATTTAGAGATGTCCTGGCCAGAAAACCTCCTTTTATTCTAAAAAAGAAATGGAACTTTTATGTGGATTTCAAAATGATTTTTGGTTTCAGAGATGGAAGAAATGAGGAAACCTTGTCTGACTCTAGGCAAATTAACATCAAATCTAGGCTGTAATTCTCATGTTCTGTGAAAATCTAGTTGTGGAAATGGATAATATGGGATTTGAAGAGATTTTTAACTGGTAATATTTATGAGAGAAACCATTGCTGGGGAAACTGAACAATTGCAAAAACATGAGGATGCTAATACTTCAATGCAACTAGGCTGCTATTTAATATAATACAGATACTGGCTTACAAAATACTTTGATAAACACATCTAAATTATCATTATTTCTAGCAAGACATTCAGTACATCTCTAATAGTTTCCCAACAGGTCAGTAATGTTCATTTTAAAATTGTTTTTGTGAAATAATTTTTTCACACTTCCTATTGTCCTATTTGTGTTTTTGCCCTTTATTGTTCAGTACCCTCCTTTGTTAGGACCAGTGGCAACTATTTGTGGCGCTCATAGCAAAAGGTGGTATTTTGCAAAAATGTACAGTGCCACTAGTCTTTTGAAGCTAGCTATCAGCTTCTGGATGAACATTTAGAAAACTGATTTCATTTAATTTATGAAGGAAGTGATTTACTTGAACATGTGTATGTAGATACATACACTGTACTTTCTGAAATGCTGCGGGACTCTGGCATAAAAAAGTGCTTTATAAACATGATATGTTTACATTAAACTACATAGCTGTTTATACCTACCTAATCATCTGATTGTAACAGTACCTGGGTAACATTTTAGATATTTTGTTTGACATTTGAATTGGTTGAGGCAAAAATACAGAGAAGTGACTTTGAGGTAACTATGCTGATTTCATTGGAGTTGCACAAGCCTATGAAATTGTACTAGGGATTAATTTGGCTCACTGAGTGCAAATCACTCAATCTTGGAGATCTATGCTCTTCCTTTCCCTGCTCATGTGGCTTCTGCCACCACTGCAAAGAATACAGCATATCCTCTTTCTGCAAGAAGGATTTTCACTTATTTATTCATTTCATGGGAAGTAGAAAGTTGCCTTTATTTGTCTATATTCCTTTTTATATACAGTACCATAGAATATGTGGTGTCAAAAACAATCTGGAAAGAACGCAGATATTCTAATATCAGGCTTTCTCTTTATGCCTATCTCTACAGAAACATTCTAGCCCAAAATATAAATATCCTAGTGCAGTTCCAGAATTGCATCCTTTAAATTTTGCCAACCAGACTAATAGAAGCAAAAGGAGAAATGTTAAGTCACTGTATTACTCAGTCCAGAGTTACAAACTTCACTGCTTTCTCTAAGCAGTAAATCTTTGTTTTGATTTATGGGACATATACCTACTTTAATTAGCTGCAGAGTACTTTTTCCTTTTTCCATTTTGGGAAAATTTGAAATCACATTTAACCAAGGCAATTCACTCCACATATGACAGGACCAGTCTTCATTTTCTGTTTATCCTGGACCTGAATCTTCTGGAAGAAGATCCACATGTCTAGCCAGCGTAGTATATTTGCACCCTCCCATATCATCTGTAACCCTATTTTAAGGAGCCTATGTAGAAAAGTGAATGACTGGCCTTAAACTCGGGTGACTTGGGTTCTAGCCCCTACTCTGCAACTGAATTTGTGTTAACTGGGCTTGAACAAGTTTTAACTTCCCAGTTAACTTAACTTCTCAGTTTTGTCTGAAAAATGGGAATGCTATGTGGAATTCCTTTATAAAGTGTTTGGAGATTAAGGGGTGAATTCTACTTCACCTATCAGATGCACACATGGACTTCAGTGGGTTTGAATAGAGGTGATACTGTCAAAGTCGGGGTTGGACTGAATAATTTTGGGAGGTCCCTTCAAACCCTACTCCTCTATAATTAGGTACCAAAGTGTGATTCTATTTCCCTTTGACCAAGTCCCTCAAAAATAGATAATACAAAAAACCAGATGAATCATCCTTCTCACTGTATGAGACTTAGTGGGTGCATCTAGACATGAAATTAGCATGCGTGAATAAACTTCAGTGCAGCTCATGTCACAGTTTATTGCTCCTGGCAGCAGCACTTACACATGTGCCTGGGACCACAACATGTTGACCTGGGTTAGCACAGCTCCAGTTTGTAGGGGGTCCAGGGGCCAGCCTGCCAGCCCAGAGCTGCTCCACGCTGGCTCAGCTTGCTGAGGAGGGGCTGGCTGGGGCACGAGGGTGCTACAGTTCAGGGTGAGCCACAAGGAGCTCCCACACTGGAACACCCGCATGCCCTAGCCAGCCCTGGTCCGCGGGGCAGTACTATCCTACAGCGGAGTTAATTAGTTTACTGTGGCCTAATACCACCACACATGTAGACGATGATGCTTTACTGTGGAACTAATTAGTCAATTCAGCGGTAATAAAGTGCACATGTAACTGCACCCAGTAATAAAGCTAAAATGATTGTGCGTTACAAAAGTAGACACCTTGACCACATCCATACAAGCATGGACATATGATTTACTTTGTGCTGCCACTAGCTGTTCCTGGGGAATGCCTGTACCACATGCCGTCTGGCATACAAAAAGTTACCCCAGGTCGGGTAGGAGAGGCTGGGGCTGGCCCCAGCAGCCTTATCTTGGGTCCTGGGGGCCTCTCAGGGCTTCAGCAGTGATGATCTTGCCGCTTGGAGTCTGGCTGACAGCTAGAGCATAGCTCCAGCCGGCCTGGCTCCAGTTTTGAGCAATGCATGCTGTCCCCGTGTGCGCTGCTACATTTTTTTTTTGTGCGTGTTTGTTTGACCCCTGGATATCCAGGGGCATAAGGGCTGGGGCATGAGGGATGTCCAGGGGTAAAAAAAACCCTGTGCTGCTCTCTTACAGCATGGAGAACACCCAGATATGGCCATTAATGAATTTCCAGGCCTTGAACCGTGTGAAATGGGATAATGTGTAGGTACCTAAATCCACCTAAATGGAACAGAATCTGGTCCTTGGTGATAAAAAGGGAGCTATCAGAGCTAGGTAACGTTGCTCTGTGGGAGCTGCATGTACATAAGTAAGAGTAAAATTGGGTATTTCATATTTTAAAATTAGGACATTCAGCACATTTCATCAAATGTGCTGAGAGCAAAGCTTATTGTGGAAAACATGATTTCAAAGAGAACTCTTGAAACCATTGGGGACTTGGGACCATGGACAGGTTTAACATTTGAAGTATTTCATATGCCTCTGAAACACTTCAAAGGGAAAGTGGACAGAGGCACCCACCATTTGAAGTGCTCCCAAAATTACCAGAGTGCTCCAAAAATGTTCCTGGATGAAACAGCAATTTCATTGAAGTGCTTCAGCTCACATGTAGACACTGAACTGTATAGCCTACCAGGGTCTCTCTCAGACTCTCAGTGCTGTGCTTTCCCCCCTGCTAAACCTCCCTGGCAGGGATGGGAGGGGACAAGCAGGGTAGAAAATGCGCAACTGCTTTCCTCAGCTGTCATCAGAGTTGAAGAGCAGGAATCCCTGTGACCTCTTCATCCCTGATCTCCCGGTTCCAGTTGAGTTTGGAGAGAAAGCAGGACAGGCTGTCAGTGAATGCTGTCCTGTGCTGGCATCACTTTCCCAATTACAGAGACAGAGAGGCCCCCCCTTCTCCCTCCCATCTTCCACCAGAATCAGGAGACCAGAGGTGGAGAGGCACACTTGGATTCCTGCTCTCCACCCGCAAGGACACCCGAGTGCAGAATATAGGGACATAGTAAGTGTCATATGGACCCAAAAACATGGTCCCTTTAGTCCAGTAGCTTGTCTCCACCAGTGGCTAGTACTAGCTACTTGAGAGTAAGGTGCAAACCCCCCTTAAATAGTTACCTATGGCATTATTTACCAAGGGGAAAAAATATTTCTTAACCCCCAGAGAGGGTTGGCTTTTACCCTGACATAGGACCTATAATTTCCCTTGCCAACCTTCTCTTTTAGATCATTAATATTTTGTCATTGGGTGTTTTTGTTATCCTTGTAAGCTGGGACTTTCAAAGGGACCTAAATGAGTGAGGCACACAAATCCCACTGAGTCAGGTGCCTTACTCCTTTAGGCCTTTTTGGAGAAGGCAGTCATAAATGTGGGTGCACTTGTATAATCCCCCTCCCCCCCAGTTATTTAGTAGAGCACTCCACACAAACCACTTGTTGGCATATTTATAACAGCTAATGAAAGCAGCAGTAACACATTTAAAATCTGAATGAAAGCTCACCAGAACTTCCCCATTCTGTCACACCTGCGGAGGAAAAAAGGGCCTTATGGTGTACCTTAGTAACAGCATGTAATAACAGGGCAATTTCAGACTTAGATTAAGAGGACTTCAACTGGAAGAAACATGAAACAGTGTCAACTAAATACATTTCTAACACAAAGAAGCCAGTATGAGCTGTGTCTACTCTAGACAGTTTTCCTGTATATTCTTCACAATAATAGTTGAGGAGTGCTAATGTTTACAAGGGTGATGTCAGTTGCCAATATTTTTGACAGGGTGTTGTCAGATTTTTCTAGGAATAGGTCTATAGAACACAAGCAAAATTATGCCACTGTCTGGTAACGTTTGGTCTACACTAACAGCAGGAAAGTCAAGGGCAAAAAGCCCAGTGTAAATGAAGATAATATGATCATTATTAACTTATATTGCAGTCCTACTTAAAAACTGTCTACCAGATTAGGCTATGATATAGTTCAGAGCTCAAACCATTCTTATTTCATGCTGGGAAAAATAATGGTCTAGAATAGATCGTGGGCTAGATGTCTCATAGTGGCTAACCAAATCATATTAGAACACTGTTTAAACAGAATTTTAATACAGTTCATAAACGGAACTGAAAGGCCAGTGTGGACAGGAACTAAGTCATTATTATATATCCATGTTTATTTTATATTTACAGATATAGATGAATGCCAGTATGGCAGTTACTGTACAAATGGACATTGTGAAAACACTGAGGGATCTTTCAGATGTACTTGTAACTATGGTTATAAACTGTCTGCAGCAGAGGTTCAGTGTGAAGGTAGGAATGTTTCTAAAACTCACAATAGTACATCTATCACAAAACTGTTGTGCAACAATAACCCAAAGTATGTTACAAAATATCATTTAATTAAAAAACAATTCAAGTACAACATTAAGCCTGCAAAGGAAAAGCTTCAAACAAGCCAGAAAATACAAGAGCTAAGGTTTTTTGTTAACTTGGCTGTGTTATGCAGGCTGTATGTTCTGTGACCTGTGTCAGGGCTGTCCAACTTTGGTACAGCCAGGAGCCTCGTGGTGTACCTGCATATGGATCTGGGGCTGCATACTACACAGGCTGCGTGCTGTGAGGGCAACCCCCACCAGATCCCTATTGCTGCATGGGCTCAGCCAGCTTCATATGGGTCCCCAGCACAAAGGTTGCAATTATACATGCCCTCTGCACTCTCTGCCATGCAGGTTATGATGGCTTCAACCCTCAGCACCTTGCCAGCTTCACAAAGCTCCCTTCACCCTACACCACATGGGCTGCAGTGCATGACTCACTTGCCCCCACTACACAGGCTGCACAGGCAGCATGAGGACCCCTGGGGCCTGCTCTACCATATGGCAGTGGGAGAGACAGCCACCAGGGCCTGCAGGCTACCAGCCAGCTCTGACCTATTCATAAGATGCATGATAGCTGAAGTTATTACATTAATTAACAGTAAACAATGAATACATTCATATTGCTGTATTAAAATTGTTGTAAGTATTTCTGATTTAGTTACTTTCAGCTTATTTCCTTAGAAAAAAGGGGAAAATCAAAACCATGTAAGTGTACCATTCTTAGTATCAGAAGCTTTAGGGCTAAGTACAGACCATCAAAAAGCCTGAGGCTGAATCAATTCAATCTCTGCACATTAGTCTAAACTGCATAGATTAAACCAATAAGCAAGTGAACAGACTTTCACTTTTGATTCTGGAAATGCAGCTGCATGTCTGTAGTGACTCAGGGCAGAAGCCAGGGGCATTGAACATGCCTCCCTGCCCTGTTAAACCTAGCCTGCCCACCCTGGAGGGGGAGAGGTTCGAAGGGGAGGTGCAAAGAATCCTGGGATACTGAGGAACTGTGAGTTAACTTGAATCTGGATGGGATCTGGGACAGAAGTTCAATAAACTGATTTAACTTAAATCAGTTAAGTCTGATATTACATCTATCTAGATGTATCTTAAACTGGTTTCACCCACTTTGAAAGTGGATTATGTGCATTGAACTTCTGTTGTGTTACAGATTTGAACTGATTTCTAATAGTTTATACCAGTTTATGTGTACCTTCTGTTCCTAACCTAGGAATTACAGCCAGGGAGTGTGACAGTCTCATTTTAGAGGAAGTATATAGGCAAAGATCGATTGCTTCCTCAGAGCTTTTATGGAAATATGTGGTTTTGTATGCACACTTTTAAAATAAGGCCCCAATCCTGCAGTGTGATGCATATGGGTGAGGCCTTGAAGGGTTATTGAAATCAGTTGTGCTTCATAGATTTTAAGGTGAGAGGGGGCCATTCTGATCATTTGATCTGATCCCTTCTGGCCAGAAAAATTCACCATTTTTTTCTGCCTCAAGCCATAGCTACTGTTTGAGTTACAACAGATCCCTGAGGTCTGATTTATCCTCTGTGAGTGACCGAGAATCTACCACATCCATTCCCAATGGCTTGTGCATGTATGTCAAATTACTTTTGGCATTTATGAAATGGACATATCTTTGTTTAATCAAAAGCAATATTGATCCTTCCTAGGGCTGACCACAGCTAGCTAATGAATTTTAAAAGACACTAAGGCCTGTTCACAATAGAGGCTAACACATTTTCATACACCACTTAATTAATACATACTAATATTTCCTAATTTAGTTCGAACCTAAAAAACTAAACACCTCCAGCAACAGATTTCTCCCAAATATTCATCTGTGATGATTATTCAGTAGTGACTCATTGGAACATGACCTGCCTTTTGAATCAGCAATGCCACTTCCGAATTTTCCTTAGGAAATTTGGAGTTTCCTATCCAAATACATCTGCTGACCTGGGCTGACCCCAGTCTGTGGGAAGTGAAGAAATCCCTCCAAGCACTGAAGGATTAACAGCAGTTATGGAAACAAAGAGAGACGTTTGACCTGGATTAATACTGATATAGAGCAATTGTTTAAATAAGAAAATCTGATCTTCATGTAAAATGTTATAGTGCAACAGCCTGGCAGTGTGCGCCTGAAAACTGCCCCCTGATAGAAAGGTGGTGATGCTGTTGCAAAGTGTTTTTGTGGGTTTTGCTGACTTACATGGGGCAGCTGATTTCTTGTCTACAGAGAAGAATTTGGTGGGGGTGTCATGTATTTTCACGTATTTCAACCTTTATTTGGTACTACATCAGAAGCAAAAAGAGTGACTGTCTTTGGACAGTGTGTGTCCAAACAGTGTGTGTTTTTGTTACCAGTATTTCCAGAAGTGTAGCATTACCATTTTCTTTAGATAACACATTTTCTTCTCCTTCATAGATATAAATGAATGTCAGCAAACAGCTCTGTGCACAAATGGGCATTGCAGAAACACAGATGGGTCTTTCAGGTGTATTTGCAAACAAGGTTACACACTATCATCTACGGGAGACCAGTGTGAAGGTAAGAATGTGGCTTACGCTACTGAAGAATTTTCCATTAAGACCTGGGCTATTCTTACTCCAAGTACAATCATTTTTTAGGATGAGGGAGGTTTATTTTTCCTGCTCTTCTCCATTCTTTGATGGCCCACTAACGGTCTCCATCGGTACAGCTCATGAATTCAGTCTCATGAATTCTCTTTCGCATAGTCCTAGTTATCTCTATATGTATAATAAACCTACACTTATGTTTTCAATAGGAAGGGTGGGAGAATAATTTGATTTTTGTTGGTAATAAATAACAACTCTTTTTAATAAGATCATATCCTCTTTACTCATATTTTAGCACATACAACTATTTTTATTCATGGGCCACAAAAACTCCTGCCAGCACATATTGTTTATGTGGCGGTCTGCTGGGTTTACAACTTCTTCTGCACCTGTTGTGTGGGCCTGTAGCCAACCACCACAATCTCAAACATGAGTAGCATTGCCAGGGGAAAGCATGTGGCCTAGATCAGGTCCAGAGAACATTCTCCTAGAGTGGAGCTCAGCATCCTCCACTGTCTCAGAGGTGCACTCTACATACCAGTCTTGCAAAACAAAATATATGAGAAATGCACAGTACATGCTAGAGGAAGTACTGTGCAGTAAGAAACAGTTGTCATATCTCTTAGGAGTATCTCACATAGGAAGACTTCAGCCCTTCTGTTACAAAACTGATACGTTCATTATCTTAGGGATACTCCTCATCCTTGCTTATTTTTCATTGCTTGACACCATTCTTATGTGAGCATCATTTCAAGGAAATTTTCACGAGCTGACCCAAAGGGGTTCTTCCCATGCTTCAGTGATACTGGCTCTTGGGTTCCTTGTTCCTGGGATAAAAGAGTACTTTAAGATACCATCTCTCAATGTCACACACTTCGGAGTTGAGACAGGCATAAAGAGGACCAGAGTCTTCCCAAAGCAGGAATGTTTTCACGTGATCCAGGCTCTAATCTCCAAAGAATTATAGAACAAAAAATCATTCATCCAACTCTGAGGTTTGGCTTCTCTGTAACCACTGGAACTGTACCGTTTCCAGTGTACATGAAACTTCTGAATGCTCTGAGGACATCACTGTTGCAGAAGATGTGATTCCCCATTGTATTCTAGGCCTAGGTTACCATCCCTGCAGCATTCTAAGAGGGAATCTTCACCTCCTTAGTGACAGGAACAAGAATCCTCCCCAGATTTTCAAGAAATCCAGGAGGTGGAGCAGCCTATCCCAGTCAACTTTTTATTGTCTTCAGATGAGACTGTGGTATCAAATCAGACTTTTTCAACTTCAGAAGGTCACAGAGTCTTACCAGTTTAAGCAGAATGGCAGCAATTCTGAGATCCCTACCAAAGTGATACAATAAAAACCTCATAAAATCCTCAATATATTACCTACACCCTGGTAATAGACTATTTGGCAATTCTGATCACTTAAGGGTTACTGGACCTTGCCAAAGTCTTATGGGAAACACCAGCAACACTTATATCAACTTCAAAGTGTGCAGAAAAACAATACCAGGTACCAGCTAACAGATTCAAGTAATACTTCTGTCACATGGAAAAGGACAAACAAGTTAAGATGGCCAAGGGTAATATGGGCATTCATTTAAATCAAGGGTGGGCAAAATACAGCTTGCAGACTGGATCCAGCCTGCCAGGTTATTGTATCTGGCCTACAGGGCGCCTAAAAATTCAGAAAACTAATATTTATCTGCCCTTGGCTCCTGTCAAAGGACTGGGCCTGGCTGCTGTGCTCCATCTCCCCACACAGCTGCCACCGCCGGCCCTACATGCACTCCTGCAGTCACCATCACTGCTGTTCCTGGCCACCATGGGCATCTCAGCCTCCTGTGGGAGCAGCGCTGAGTACAAGCAGCCGCAGTGCTTGGGCTCACAGCAGGTGCACAGCAGTGGCGGGGCCACCACCACAACAGTGAGTCAGAGTGGCTCTTGTGGCACACCTTGGAGCCACCAGTACGCTTGTGGTGGCCACAGTGGAAGAGAAGGATGAGGAGGGCTCGGCTGTTGCCACCTTCTCCTTGTCACTGCGCTCACGGTGCCACCTCCGCACCCCTGCCACGAGCCCAAGCACCACTTGCCCCATGGCTGCTTGTGCTTGGCACCATCCCCACAGCAGGCTGAGGCACCTGTGGCGGCCAGGCGCGCTGGTGGGGCGCCAGAGCCCGTGGGCTGCACCAGCCATGCCACCTGTGACGGAAGCTGCAGGAGCAGGGCTGGTGGTGGAAGCCGTGTGGGGAGGTGGAGCACGTTACCCAGGTGTGGTGGGAGCACTGCAGCAGCAGCAGCTGCTCCTGTGAGCAGCACCATGAGCACCGCTGCGAGCATGGCAACAAGGAGAAAGTGGTGGTGACCAAGCCTGCCTCATCCTTCTTCTCCGCCACAGCCCCACAGACGCTTGCTTGTGCTGTGAGCATGCAGGGGGGCCTGTATGTAGCCTCCACTGTCCGGCCCTGGCTGATCAGTTGCTATCAGAGCAGCTCCACACAACACTGCTTCAGGGCCTCCAGCTGGGCCTAGTGCTCCCACTGTGCCTCGTCCCATGCCTCCTCCTGGGTGGTCTCCTGCGTGACATCTTCCCCACACCAGGCCAGCTCCCATGCCTCCCATGCCTGCTGCCACACCACCAAGTTCTCTACCACTGCCACCAGCTGCTGGAGCAGGAGCATCCAGTCCCCGGTGTGTTGCAGCTCCAGCAGCGGGTAGCAGTGACCCTGATGTGGCACTCCCAGAGACCCCTGCAATCTCTTCACTGCGTCCAGATATTGGGCCTGCAGAGGCAAGAGACAGAAGCCTTTTGTACAACATTTGCAACATTGCAGAGATTAAGATGCTCTGCACCAGGGACCCTGTGCTGCCTGGCCTCAGATCAAAGGTTGGTTGTGTGCAGGTGCTCAGGGACCATAGTAATCTGTCTAGGCAGGGCTGGGTCCAGGTGGCTGCTGGCTGAGCCCCCTGGCCCTGCTTGCTCTCCTGGGGCCAGTGGGCCACTGGGTGCTGGCTGTAGGCAGCCTTCCACCTCTGCCCCCTTCCCAGGGTGGGCCAGGTCAGGCTGCTGGCACCACTGCTGCCACAGGTCCAGACCCAGCTTCCCCAGCCCCCCACTTACCAGCCATGCTGCTGCCCAGCCAACAGTGCCTGGTCTGGGATGCATGGGGCTCCTGGACAATAGGGGCAAGGGGATGGCCCCGCCCCCGCCCTCCCTACTTTGGGCCTGTCTGGGGAGGTGACATGGGGCCATCTCCGCCTCACACCACTGCTGTGCCCCGAGCATGCCCCTGCTGCATGTGTCCCAGGTGGGACACAATGGACTGTTGATGCAAGCAGAGGGGTGCCCAAGCCCCGCTGCTGCTACTCTTGCTGGTGCCCCAGGCACACCTGCACTCCTATTTCGGAACTCTGAGCTACGACAGCATGAGAGGCAAACCCGGGCTTCCTTGCAACTTCTGCTGCTGCCTGGAGGGCTACCTGTTGCAGTGCTGCATGTACTGCCCCCCACTGCAGAGAAGGACATTGCCACAAGCATCGACGCCTTCCTTGGTGTGTGAGGCCTGTGCCCACCCAGCTGCAGGGACATGGGCTGCTTAATAAAGTTTTGAACTGTGTCCTGCTTCTCTGCGTGCTGTGGGGTGAGGAGCCTGGGGTCAGTGAGTGCAGGCTGGTTAGGCAGGGAATAGACCAGGGCCAGGGACTGGGAGGGCTCTCCCCCAGTGCAGGACTTAACACATGTGCAGGGATGGCCAGGCTGGCAGCTCATTGCAGGACTCCCCATCAGCAATGGCATCTGGCTGTGCCCCATGTCCATGGCCTGTGGTGTGCAGCAGGCCACACCTGGCCAGGGGCCCTCCTCTGAGGAGGAGCTAGTGGCCAGTGGTGGCATAGCTAGCTGCTCCTCATTGCAGGGTGCAGGGCTTGGCCAAGGGTGTGATGCAGCCACTAGGCAGAAATCCCTGAGCTGCCAGTGGATGCAGCAGTCAGGGAGGTGGGCAGAGTGGGGCGCTGAAGGTGCGAGGTCCTCTTCTTCAGTGACATGTCACCAGAGGTGTCAGGGTGGGGTGCAGGTGAGGGCAGGCCAACTTTAATGGTGGCACTTGCAGGGGTGTGGCCTGTCTTCTGGGGCACCAAAATTCAGGTCAGCTTCCACATGAAGGGCATGGTCTTCTGGGCACAACCATACCAACGATTGAACTTGGTTATGGTCACCCACTGTGCCTGCAGGACCTTGGCCTCCACATGGCACTGCCCAACCATCTGGGAGTGGCCTTGACCATGCATCCCGCCAGATACGGCCTCATAAATGTGGGCGTTTGAGCACCCACCCTGCACAGACTGCCTCTGGATGTCAGCCCTGCCCCATGAGGTCACACACCTCCTCACAGGTCCAGTTGGGGGCCCAGGTGCTCGGCATGGGTATGGGCATGTGGACAGTGCTTGATGGGGATGATGTACTGGACATGTTCCCTGCTCTGGTTCTCTGGGCCCCTGCGTGCCTGTCCCTGTGATGCCAGCCCTGAAGTGGTGCCAGCAGCACCCAGGACAGAGGCAAGGGCAGGGACTATAAGCCACATGGCAGAGGTGCTTCACCACAGTGCCTGCAAAGATACAGAGCTGGGGGCGAGGAGCAGCAAACAGCAGGTGCTGGCCCTGCTGTTATAGAGAGCAGGGCCAGCAGGCCTGGGGGAATCTCAGGTGTGGGAAAGGACATAGTAGGCTGCAGCCCTTTGCAACGCTCACCTGTGGCCAAGGAGCAGCCCTTGCTAGGGGACAGGACTGACAGAGGCTGCCTGGGGCTCTCCCATCCAGGGGGATACACAGGGCCTGGTGGGCTCCTGCAGGCAGCACTGGCTCCCTCAGGCTCCCTGTGCTGTGTGCCCCAAGGCACAAAATGGCTGGAGGCTTTTATAGCCTGCAACTACAAGCTGCCAGAGAGCAGCCCAGCCCTGGAGGAAGAGAGGCAATCAG